CTCCCAAGCCAGCGGGGATGCCTATAAGAAAGGTGCTGCGGGGGTTTCCCGCTGGGGCCCATTTATCACCACCACTGAAAACTACCGCCAGACAACCCCAGCCCGAGGGCTTGAAACGCAAGACTGAAACCTCCCCCACATGGCTGCACGAGAACCAAATCTCACTTGAAACCATTTCAGGCACCCACCCTCAGGACCCCGGGGCTCAGGACCCCTACACAGGGCTTCAGGAAGGGGGAGGTCATCTCCCGCCCTCACAAAGGCCCAGGAGAGATAAAGCACTCCAGCAGAGGGTAAAGCTCTCAGCCTACGTATTTCCCACAACTCCTTCCCAGCGGACGTACCCTCCTCCCTCCGCCCGCAAGGAAGAAATCCGACGGGAGGTGGGCTTCAGGACACGCCCCATGAAAAAGATGTCCCTCCCACACACCCAGAAATGGCCACAAGGGGGTGCACGGCGCCTATTAGTGGGAAAATCTCCATCTAGATGCCCCACCACCACCCAGAGGGAGGTCACAGGGGCATGCCCCATCCCCCAACACCTAAAGCCCTGGGTGAGGGGGAGAACTCTAGGAGGGGAAATGGGGTCGGGGGGCCCCATTCTTGGTTTTCCTCCAGTCCCTAATCCAGAACGCACAAATCCAGGGCCGATATCCCAATAGATGCCCCTGGAGCTCGGAAGGAGGTTGTAAAAGGCACTGCTCCTCCCAAAAGACTCTCTACATCGTGGAGGGCCCCAGGTCGATCCCACCCCACGACGTGTGCCCGGGTCCCTGGGTAGGAGGGCTGGGGGCCTCAGGAGGGTCGGACCCCCTCCCCGCCCCCCCGGGCGCCCCTCCCCGGCCGGGGGCGGGGCCTTTGTCCCGCACGTGGAGCCCGCCGGGCCACCGGACTCGGCACACCCCCTCCCCACCCACCGCGCCGCGGCCACGTGGGGGCCTGGCCGGAAGCGCCCCCAGCCCTCCTCCACGTGGGAGGGGGGATAAGACCCTCCGCTAGGCCGGATGCCGAAGGCCCTTGAAAGCTAGGGAGCCGTCACCTCAAACGATATCCCCGGATGTGGAGCGTGCGGCGCCCCCGTGTGCGGCGGGGGACCTCCAACCCCATGTCGCCAACTTAGAGCCCTTTCCCCACCACAGAGGCGTGAAACATCGACCCAAAGCCGCCCCCCGCCCACGGCGGCGCTCCAAGCGCTCACCTCCATGATGCAGTTCGCGGCCTCGGCTGCCGCCATCTTCACCCGCAACTACTCCTCCTCCAGCCGCCAAGACCCCCCCCTTTCTCCTCACTCCCCCGGGACCGCCTTATACCAGAGGGTCCACGGCCCGCCTACCGCGACCCCGCTGGAAGATTTCATTGGCAATGGAGGCGGCCCGTCTGAGAATACCGTCTGATAATTGGCTGAAGAATACGTCCATCATAGGTCAGGGGTTTGCCAACACTGGCGTCCAGAATCCCGCCCCCTCAAGTCGACCCGAGATGGGGAAAACTGCCCGTCTATTGCAAGAAGCGCGACTGGTGATTGGGCAAAATCCACGAGGAATGCCCGCCCCTTTACCCCCAGCACCGCCTCAAAGCTTCCCGGGGAGCCCCGCGCTAAAGGGGCGTCTTGAAACAACTGTCCATCACCAAAACGACCCGCCTCTTAATCGCTGCCATTGGTTTATCCGGAAGTGACGTCACGCGGCCTTTCACCCTCGCCAAGCGGCCGGTCTCAAGGAGAACACGACAATTGGCCCACGGATGGAGAAGAAGGCGGGGCTTCAGGCACCAACGATTGGCTCAAAGGAACGATCACGCCTAGTCCACTCGGTGGATCCTCCCAACCCGGGGGGAGTCTCGAGGAAAAAGGGAGCTTGTGCTCATTACCTGGGAGAAAAACTGAATCAGTGAGAGGCCCAGAGAGAGGAATGGCATCGCTGGGGTCCCCAAGCAAGTGAGGAATAGGAGTCCGCAGTCAACACATTAAATCCCTAGCCTTTGACATAATCATTCAAAGTTTTTAAAACCCATCAACCCCTCTCAAGGTACTTGGTTTTTGCCGAGTCCCTCCCCCTGCCAGGACCGCCCACCTCTCTTTGTCTGGTCAGCTTCTAAACGAGAATCAGAGCGCAGCTTAGGCACCACTTCCTCCGGGAAGCTTTGCTTGATTTGCAGGAGAAGTTCCTAGTTGAATGAGGCTGAATGCAAAGGGCCGAATGCGTGGGTCCTGCCCCTCCTCTCTCTGATCCCTCTGCTTCCCTCCGCTCACACTCCTCTCCAATCCCGGAATGAGCTCGCTCTTTGGTTTCTGGGCCTCGGTGCAGGCTATACTCTCTGGCGTGCCGCTGGCAAACGCCTGAGACTTAAAAATTTCCGATAGGATTCGGGCGCAGTGGCTCACGCCTGTAATCCCAGCACTTTGGGAGGCGGAGGCGGGCGGATCACTTGAAGTCAGGAGTTCGACACCAGTCTGGCCAACATGGTGAAACGCCCATTTCTATTAAAAATACAAAAATTGGCCGGGCGCGGTGGCTCAAGCCTGTAATCCCAGCACTTTGGGAGGCCGAGACGGGCGGATCACGAGGT